TCCTCCTCCTCCTTCTCCTTCCCCCTCTGGCCCCTGCCCCCAACACACCCTTGCTGCTGCTTGTGATATTCAGCTGACCAGATACGTGATCTTAGTCAAAAATTCCAAAAGCCGAGTAACTATAATACGGCCGCTCCCACTCCTACGGAATATTACGTGGTTTGATCTGATGTTGCTGCGCATTGTTGCTAGAGATTGGCCCACTTGAAGTGCTTGGTTTCTGAGAAAGGGCACCGGTGATGGTGATAGTTTGATCAGTGCGTTTTTCTTACTTAGTTATCATAAATATCTTGGTTTTGCGGGCATGGGTGTGCAGGGCTCTGGGTCAGGCCATGCCTTACATATCCTACTTTGCGAAAGGACGTGCGGCAGGATATAAGATCTTTCAGGCGATCAAGCGGGAGCCTATGATACACTCTGATGGCTCTGGGAGAGAACTACAGAAGCTTCGGGGAGAAATCCAGATGATTGATGTTGCGTTCCGCTATCCCGCTCGGCCTGATGTGCTAGTATTCCGAAATTTCTCGTTGACCATTCCCGCCGGTAAAGTGGTTGCCTTAGTTGGTCCTAGTGGGAGTGGCAAGTCATCTGTCGTCGCTCTGCTTGAACGATTCTATGAGCCGGAGTCTGGGTCGATCCTTATTGATGGAGTGGACATCAAAAACCTCCAGCTCAGGTGGTTGCGCCGTCAGATTGGACTTGTAAGTCAAGAGCCAGTATTGTTTGCCACGTCAATCATAGATAACATACTGTACGGAAGGGATGGTGCAAGCAAGGCGGAAGTCGAGGCGGCAGCAAAAGGCGCACATGCACATAACTTCATAATGCAGTTCCCGAAGGGATATGACACGACGGTGGGAGAGAGGGGAGTGCAGATGTCAGGAGGGCAAAAGCAGCGGATTGCAATTGCACGCGCAATGCTGAAGAACCCGACTATTCTCTTGCTTGACGAGGCAACGAGCGCGCTGGATGCGGAATCGGAACGGGTCGTGCAGGAGGCCCTCGATGCCCTTATGGTAGGGCGGTCTACAGTGGTTATCGCACATCGTCTGTCCACGATACAGAGATCTAATATGATAGCAGTTGTTCAGGGGGGAGAAGTGGTGGAGACAGGAACCCATGAGGAGTTGCTTGCAAGAGAGAAGTCTGGCACGTATGCGAAGCTCATCAAACTGCAGGTGGAGGGGAACATAATGGAACAAGATGGAAGCGTGTTAGGCAGCAGCCAGCGGAGGGGCAGTATCACTGTGCCTACACCAAGGAATGAACCTGAGACATCCCCTGCAACAGTGGTTGCTGCAGTTGTTCAGCCGTTGAGAAATGCAAGTTTTTCAGTTAGTATGGCAGGCAATTATAGCGGAGACATAGAGGGCACAGGTGCACCATCCTTCTGTCGGCTGCTTAAGCTGAACAGACGGGAGTGGCATTGGGGTTTGCTTGGCATGATTGCTGCCTCTGTGTGTGGGGCCTTCCAACCTGGATTTTCCTTGATCCTATCATCAGTCATCTCGAAGTACTTCAACCCGGATACAGATGAAATGCAAAAGGAAGTTCGCCGATACTGCCTGATTTTCTTGGGCTTTGCTGCCATGTCTACATTTGCTTATGGATTCAACTTCGGTTCTTTCAGCGTAGCTGGTGAGCGGCTTGTGAAGCGAGTGAGGGAGAAGTGTTTCAAGGCCCTCCTCACGCAGGAGGTCGGATGGTTTGACAGAGACGATAACAGCAGTGCATCGATTGCTGCACGATTGGAGGTTGACGCCACTGTCGTGAAGTCGGCGGTGGCTGAGCGCATCTCTGTTCTCGTGCAGTGCCTTGCACTCGTCGTGATTTCCATCGTGATAGGACTCTTGATGACCTGGAAAATGACACTTGTGATGCTGGCGACGATGCCCCTTGTTTTGTCTGGTTCTGTTGGTCAGGTGAGGAACCTTCACATCCCACTCCTTTTGATCCAGTGTGTTGCTTTCTTTCTCTTTGCCTATTTTTATACTGTTTGGTTCATTATTCTGATGATTGTTTCTTTTTTGTATGTTTCCGGAGCCACTCTTCATTTGAGCACTGTTACTTCCGTCCTTGATTTTTCCTTTTGCAATTCGTGCGGACATAGCCCGTAACGCCCATGGGTGCAGATTAAGCTACTTTATATCACATACATACATCATATATTTGTATACATAGCATGTAATGAACCCAGTCTCATGAGAAGCCAATCAGTGTCGTGACACGAGTCTAAACCCAGCGGATACAATAACGTCTCTAATTCGATTATATGTCCATGCCCAGCATATGTGCACTTTCCAAGAGCATCGTATCCTCATAGAAGAGAATGAGGTAGTGGGGAGAAGAGACAGAGAGGAGGAGAAGAAGAGTCCCAGTAATAATCAATAACACATGAAGTCTCTTCCTGCCCACTTCCTCCTCGGGCATTACCCCCCCTGTCACCACCTCAGCAGTGCAGTCTCTCTCTGACTTCCTCTGACATTTTCAGTCTGCAAATTGAATAAACTGGCAATTCGACATAAACAACTTTTGCCACTTTATTCAATTTGCAGAGAACTTAGAGAAGGTTACAACTGTACAAGCAACACTGTTTATGTCTTCGAAAATTCGAATGGCATCAAACGAGTCGAGCACCTTTAGAAGAAGATTGAAAAGTTGAAAAGAGTTGAACAACGACGGGAAGTTCGGATTACAAGGACATGGCAGTGATATCAGCGACCTTGCGTAGTTGACGAAGATGCAGCAAAAGCTGCAAAATAACTGACACACGGACAGTGTAGACAAAAATATAGGTAAAATTTGCTAAACCCATAGATCTGCTTGTTTGTCTGCCTGCCTGGTTGCCTGCCTGCCTATCTGTCTGCCTGTCTTTCTGCCTCCCTGCCTGTCTGTGTCTCTGTCTGTGTGTGTGTGTGTCTCTCTCTCTCTCCTGTCTCTTATACACATCTAGATGTGTATAAGAGACAGACCATCTGTGTTCTCGTGCGTGATTACCCTAACCTGCAACTGTTCCAGGTC